TAGATCACACTATATCATATTATGGTAATAGGACTTACAATTGATAGGACTTCAGTCCAAAAATAATCATAAGTTTGGTGCAAGTGGTTCTCAAGAGGGAAGGGTCTTCTCCTTAGCAGATGTCTGGCAACATCTGGAGACATCCTGATTGTCAGATCTAGGGGCAGGGTGCAACCGAGCAGCTTTGAGTGAGTGTAGAGATCAGGAATGTTGCTAGACATTCCACACACACACACACACACACACACACAAAGAAAGAAAGAAAGAAAAGGAAAGGAAAGAAAAAAAGAAACAGGGCAGTCCTCTACAACAAAGGAATATCTTGTCCAAAATGCCAATAATGACTAGGCTAAGAAGCCCTGGTTCAGTAAAAACCTGAGAAGACAAATAGAGTTCTGAAAGATCAATTGTATTAATATTTTAAATAGTGACTCAAACAGTAAAACCAACAACATGCTGAGGAAAGAAAGACAAAACACTCCTGTACAATCAATCATTCCCTTCTCTTTGCTGCCTTGTCGTTTTTGTTTATAATTATTACAGATTTGAAAAATATCTATAAGATAAAATGTATTGCAGTTATTTGTTTTTCTTCCATTAAATGATGAGTAGTCTGGACAGTTCATTCCTGGTGGCTTGGTCTTCAGTGGGGTTTTGTTGATTATAAAATATCAGAGAAGAAAACTGACTATGAAATAGAGTTACTCAAAAGTACAAATTGAAAGACACCACCAACCCTACACCTCCCACCCCCAGTCAAAAGAATAATTATTTTTTTGTCTTTTTTGGAACTGGCAATGGATCCCAGGGCTTTGTGAATGTGAGACAATTGTCATTGAATTACATCTCAGCCCCTAAAATGAGAATTCTTAAAATCAGGGTAAGCTGGGAGCAATGGTGCATGCCTATAATCCCAGCAGCCAGGAGGCTGAGACAGGAGGATTGCAAGTTCAAAGACAACCTCAGCAATTTAGCAAGACCTTCAGCAACTCCTAGAGACCCTGTCTCTAAGTAAATATAAAATAGGGCTGGGGATGTGGCTCAATGGTCAAGTGCCCCTAAGTTCAATCCCCCACACCCCAAAATAATAACAACAACAGATTTACTAATGGAAAGATCAGGATAGAATTTAACAACTGTCAACTGGGGATGGGGCTCAGCAGTAGAGTGCTCACCTAGCATGTGCAAGGTCCTGGGTTCGATCCCCAGCACCACATATAAATAAATAAAGGTATTGTGCCAACTAAAAAATAATTATTAAAAAAAAAGAATTTAGGGGCTGGGGTTGTAGCTCAGTGGTAGAACGTTTGTCTAGTACATGTGAGGCACTGGGTTCAATCCTCAGCACCACATAAAAATAAATAAATAAAGTATTGTGTCCATCTACAACCAAAAACAAAATATTAAAAAAATAAAAAATTTAAAAAACAGAATTTAACACCTGTCACCATAAATAAGGTGTTATAAAGATAATTTCTATGAGTTGGGTTTTATGAGAGGCAAACTTAGATGAAGAATAACATGGGGTTGTTTATTAGGGTGTGATCTTAGGGTCAACACCCAAGCAGTATTAGAAGGAAGAAGGATTAGGCAGGAATAAATTGAGCTATAGTATAATCACAACAAGTCTTCAGCTGATGCCATAAAGAGTTTGGAAGCTGAGCTATCCCTTCAGAGTTGTTGTAATTGGAGCATGAATTCTGAGCCTTTATTACCCCCACATTGATGAATCTTCGACTGCGACTTCGAGCTATCCAGAGAAGGGACCATGACATTGGATGAGGTGGCTCTCTTCATCAGCCAACCTTCCCAGAAGCTGGAGGAATAAGTCCTCCAGTCCTGAAGAGGGAATCTGAGCAACACAGTCCAGCATCCATACAAGTTCATCCCTGTGCCACTCCAAACCCTTTGCTTCATATAAGTTCAGCTCCTTCAAGACACTAGAGGACTCTTTTCCTGGGAAAAACTTAATGAGGGGAAGTTTAGTGGAAGGCAGTACAGGCTGCTACCTTTGCAGCTCCTATCAAGACTACAGTTAAGCTGGGCATGTGGTGCACACCTGTAATCCCAGCAGTTTGGGAGGCAGAGGCAGAAGGATTATGGTTCAAAGCCAGCCTCAGCAAAAGTGAGGCACTAAGCAACTCAGTGACACCCTGTCTCTAAATAAAATACAAAATAGGGCTGGGGATGTGGCTCAGTAGGCTAGTACCCCTGAGTTGAATCCCCAGCCCTCACCAAAAAAAAAAAAAAAGACTATAGTTGATAGTTGTGTGCCTTGTGACACATGCCTACAATCCCAGTGATGCAGGAGGCTGAGGCAGGAAGATCGCAAATTTCAGAACAGCCTTGGCAATTTAGTGAGGCCCTCAGATTCTGTCTCAAAATATGAAAAGGCTAAGGATGTGTGTCAGTTGTGAAACACCCCTGGGTTCCATCCTTAGTGACCCCCTCCACAAAAAAAGCTACAGCCGATACTCATCAAATTTCTCCTCTATTTTAAATGACCTGTTTTTATTTCTCATCTTTGGTTATCACCTCTGTTTGGTTGGAGGGCTGACCCAGATCTTCAAACATGAGGATCTAAGCTGATGGTTCTTCTCAGACCTGGCTGCTGAATTTACCCATTTATCACCTGAACTGGGTAAGGAAGTACTAAAGGAAGCTTCAGTCATCACCTGAATGTAAACCCAGTCCATTCTGTTCCCACCGTGTAGCAGTGGTCTTATTTCCCACTCATGATCAGGTCTGTAACCCCACCAAGATAGTGACTTTTCTTGACTCATTCATTGGCACAAAGAGTTTAAAGTGCCATACTTTAAGCTTAACCACTGAGCCTTTTTTTATATTTTATTTAGAGACAGGGTCTCGCTGAGTTGCTTAGGACCTCACTAAGTTTCTGAGGCTGGCTTTGAACTTGTGGTCCTCCTTCTTCAGCCTCCGGAGCCCCTGGAATTCAGTAGGACTCTTATGGTGCCCCCCGGTGGAAATATATACCCCAAAGAACCATAACATCTAAATCTGCAAAACAACATTGCAGTGATGGGAAGTGAGGTTTGATGCAAAGTGAACCTCTCCGATTTTCACTCCTTAGTTCTTGGACCCACATAGTCTATCTATTAAGGACACAGTAAAATTTTTGATTTAATATGTACTCTGCATTCTGGAGGTTGGTGTTCCAAGTCAGGTGATGTGGTATGTGATAAAACCAGTGGGTCCCACAGTCATATGCTCAGGGCTGCATCTCCTTTTGTAATGTCATGATGCAATGTTCTATGAAAAATCCTGTTGGTGAATCACTCTGTAATCATTTAGGTATTAATGTGCCAGAGACCCCCTAGGGAAGGAAAGGCAAACCTGTACCTGAAATACAGCTCTGTCCCTATGTACAAATCCCTTGAACCTCCAGGATAGTAGGGATCTGTTATAGTCAACTTGCCACCTAGGGCTTTCAGAGATGATACCATATCAGTGGCTCAAAGTGACCTAGCACATTGGACATTTGGCAGCATCAATAGCTAGACGGTCAGTGGGAGCCTCCATTCCTGCCATTTCCATGAGCTCATTGTGACCCATAACAGAGACTGATATCTGTCAAGTCATCTTATCTATCCAATAGCTTACTGCCTCTTCTGCAATGGATATTTTCTGATAGGCATTAACATCCAATACAAAAGTCTTCACACGTTGTGACTTTGCTCAGTGACCCATACACACGTCTTTAACCCAGACTTCTTTCTGTTCAAGGCTCCTGACCAACTGACACAAACATTCACCACTGTCCATGAAACTGCATAGATATCCCAACCTCCAGCTGCTCTTCTTTCCACATGTAGGAGATGACCTGGAATAATTCCTGAAACTTTGCCACCGGGAGACTTCCTCCCTTGACCGTTTTTCAAAGTCACTCCTAATGGGTACAGTAGCACAGCTGCCATCCCTTTTTGGCTTGTTTCTACATCCTAGGCCAATCCATGTGAACAAAGCTTGAGCTCAATCCTACTCTGATGGTTGGTCATAAGGAACTCCATGTATGGCCATGGATGTGAGCTGAGAGGGAGGTATTGGCACATCATGGGTGATGACACAGGTCTGGTCAGGGACTCATGATCCACTGATACAATGGACCACTGTGATGTGACATTCTGGGAAATGTCCTGCCAGTCCGGGTCTTTTTAGTCCATGTTATGACAGGGTGGAAGTATTAGCAACGATTTGGGAAGGGACTGTAAATGTACTCTGGGGCTGATTCTAAGAGTAGGTCAACTCTTTCTGATCCTCTTTTTTGGAGATTTATGGGATAGAAAAGCATTTGCCAGATCAGTGACTGCCAACCACATTCCTGCAGCTGTGCCACTGCTCTAGCTGGCACAGCTGCTGCAGTAGAGCTCATATCTGCCTGGACATGTGATAGTGTACTGTCACCCTCCAGGATGCACCTGGATTCTTCATGACCCAGACTGATGAATTAAATGGAAACACATTGGAGACCAGCATTCCTTTACTCTTTAGGTTTTTAAAGATGCTACTAACCTCTAACATTCCCCTAGGACTGTTTTTGATTTGTTGGCATACAGGGAGAGAGACAGCTTCTCCTATCACACAGGTCAAGAAACCAGTGTGGGGGCTGGGGTTGTGGCTCAGTGGTAGAGCGCTCGCCTAGCATGAGTGAGGCCCTGGGTTCAATTCCTAGCACCGAAAATAAATAAATAAATAAAGTCTATTGACAGGAAAAAAAAAAAAAAAGGAAAAAAGAAAGAAACCAGTGTGGGAGTTGTGCTAACTACCAAGCATATCCATTTAATGATATATTTAAGGATTGGAAAAATGATCCCTGTGAGCCAGACCTGGGTCAAGATTCCATTTGAGTACCTGACCATCATCCATCCCCATCAACAGGGAAGCCATGATTGAAAGTTTAAATTTAGGACTTTTAGAGAAACATCTGATCAAAAATAATTATTCCCCCAGTTTACAACAAGAGATCCCAGACAGCTTAACCCTTTGGTTATACTTCTGCTTTAATAGAATAACATTTGAAAATGAAGATATCCAGTGGTAAAAGGTAAAGCAGGATGCGATACTGAGAAGCACAACTGTGCTTTAACTGGGGTCCTAAGTTTTTAATCGTAACAATCACACTTCAGCTGAACAGTGTCCTCTAGCTTTGCAACACACCCAACAGTAACAGTACAATACCACCCTTAACATTGTACTCCATGTCAAATACCCACTCTATAAATGTACTGTTTCATCTTTTTTTCCCATAATAAAAGGGATAGATCTATAATTCATAATCAGAGTCAGGTGCCTGAAGATTGAGGTATGAAATATTGCCTATCAATTTGCTTCACAGACTGAATTTTTAAAAAACAGTATAATTTTTTCTTCTTTAAAGTAACTTCATGTAATGGGAGTCTAGTTCATTTCATAATGATGTTGGGTTGAACAAGATAACCAAAAAAATTGCAAGTATTAGGCTGGGATGTAGCTCAGTGGTAAAGCAGTTGCCTCTTATGTGTGAAGGCCTGGGTTTGATACCCAGTGCCAAAAAAGAAGGTATTTTTCAGAAAAATAAGACCGATAACAACATTAAAGCATAATCCTTTAAGAATTCATGAGAAATAAAGGTGATAAAGTTTAAGGTTTTTTATCAGATGTTTTAAAATTTCCATAAAACTCTTTGTCCCAAGACTGATCATTTAACCATGGTACACAAAATACACTGAATACATCGCCTGGCATCAAGGTGGGGAAACCTTCATTTTTATATAATGAAATCCTCTTCTAATCCTTCTTGACCCAAGTTGTGGTTGTCTGAGGGCTGATTGCTCTCGAAAGACCTGAAGTTGTAATAGAAAGCATCATTTTCAGCAACTGGTTGGTATTCCTGTTCCATTTCATTTTGGAAACCATTTCCAGAGCCACTTCCAGATCCTGATCCAGATCCAGAACCAGACCCAGAGCCTGATCCAGAATAGTCCTCAGAAAGGGGGAAAACATCATTCAAGTTCTGGAATCTTTTCATTCTGAAATATGAAAGAAAAAAAAACATAGTAAAGTTTGTTTCATAGGGAATATAATCATAATATTTTTATGATAAAGAAATAAATGCAGCCAAATTAAGAGTTTAGCTCTTTAAGTCTCTAAATTATTGAATGCTATAAAACAAAAAACCAAGTCAAGCAGGGTGTTTAATCACTGAGTTATATTCCCAGCCCTTTTTTATATTTTATTAGACACAGGGTCTCACTAAGTGGCTCAGGGTCTTGCTAAGTTATTGAGGATGGCCTTGAACTTCTGATTCTCCTGCCTCAGCCTCCTGAGCTTCTGGGATAACAGGCATGTGCCACCATGCCCATCCTTCACATTCAATTTATCACCCCCCAATATATCCCCAAATTAATCTGCTTCCAATCTGCATTCATGAGCTGAAGGTGCTGAAGGGTGGGGCTTATGCATCTGAGTGTGCTCCTTAGAAGTCAAGTGAGCAACCAAAGATCAAAGCAATGGTGCCATCTCTCCTTAGGAGATCAGAGCATGGCATCAGAGACTAAAGTTGAGCATCACATCCTGCGGATCATTTTCACCATGAAAATAATAAACCCAGGTCACAATCAATTGGAGTTTTCAGTCATGCATGGATTCAATAAATATATCTGTTGAATAAGAACCATAGAAGAGATCCCTGTTCTGAGTGTCTGGGAAAGAACAGGAATAGATAGATGAGGTCCTTGAGGTCCCTGATCAAGAAACTTACTTTCTTTCTTTTCTTTTTTTTTTTTTTTTTTTTTTTGTACCAGGGATTGAATCCAGGGGCACTTAACCATTGAGCCACATCCCTAGTCCTTTTTTATATTTTATCTAGAGAAAGGGTCTCACTAAGTTGCTTGGGGCCTCAATAAATTGCTGAGGCTGGCTTTGAAGTTGCAATCCTCCTGACTTAGCCTCCCAAGTCACTGGGATTACAGGTGTGCACCTGACTCAAGAAACTTTTAACTTAGTGGAAAGACAACAAAAAGTGAATAAAAAATCAAGAAAACATTAAGTGGTGCAGAGAAATGAAATAGAGTAATGTCACAGAGGATGCCATGTGGCTACTTCAGCCTGGGGGATCAGATTTGGTAGTTATTGACATATAAATGGTGTTAGAAGCCAGGTAACAGGAGGAGGTCACCTAGCGAAAACATGTAGATTGAGAGGAGGACCCACAACAGCCGGGGCCACACCAATATATAAAAAATTCAGCACAAGAGAAAACAGCCAGGGAAGGCAGGAGGAAACCATGATAAGGTGGGGTATGGAAGCAAAGAGAAGCAAGAATTTGAAAAGAAGATGCTGGGTGCGGCAGTGCACGTCTGTAATCCTAGCAGCTCAGGAGACTGAAGCGGGAGTATCACAAGTTCAAAGCCAGCCTCATTAACTTAGTGAAACCCTGTCTCTAAATGAAAAATATATAAAAGGGCTGGGAATGTGGCTCAGGTGTTAAGTCCCACTAGGTTCAGCCTTTGGTACCAGAATGAGAGAGAGAGAGAGAGAGAGAAGATACCTAAATAGGAGACACTAAAGTATGCCTGAAGCCTGCTGGGAAGAAGATACTGGGTTCAGAGAGGTAATTGCAGAATTGAAGTTGTAGAGAAGGTGGTGTGAATGGGGATAGGATACCAGACACAGAGAGGGTTGACCTTAGAAGTTGCAACAACCAAGGCCCGATCGGGAAACTTCTCTAAATATTTAATACAAAGGGCACTGCTTATGCATGTGTTCAAGGAGAAGTGAAGCCAAATAGAGGATGATGTGGTAATTCAGAGATTAGCAACAGCAAGAAAGTACTTTCCTAGTGAGCTAGAGGGATCGCAGAAGACTGATATTATCTGAGAGACCAGGGGCATCCAGTGGGAAATGCAGCCACTATATGACAAACCCATGCCAGAGGTGCCTCTTGAGTTCTCTTCCTGCTGGCCTCCCCCATCTCTCTTTTGTGCCCCCATTGGCCCACAGTCAGCCACAAACCTGAATGCTTCAGGAAAGCAGACCACAGGGATCAGCCCTCCCCCACCCACATACAGAGCAGGACCAGGAAGGACAAGGGATGGATCAGAAGGCAAGGGGCCTGCGTTAGGCACAGAAGCAGAGACCATTCATCTATAATGACAGGAGGAAAATCAGAGTGTTGGAATGAGAAGCAAAGTTACTGGCTTCAGGAAGGGAAGATCACAGAGGTTATAAGAGAGAAGAAATGATGTGAAGAGAGGTTTTGGAGCTAGGTGTTGTGGCTCACGCCCGTAGTCCCAGCTACTGGGGAGGCTGAGGCAGGAGGATTGCAAATGGAAGGGCAGTCTCAGCAACTTAGGGAGACCCTGTCTCAAAATTTTTAAAAAGCAGGAGGCTAGAAGTAGCTCAATGGTAGAATGGTTGCCTGGCACATATAAGGCCCTGGTTCCTTTCCCAGTTAAAGGGAAAAAAAAAAGAAGAAGAAGAAGAGTTGTTTTGGAGAATTTAAGTTATTCTTCTAATATTTTAGATTTAAAAGAATTATTAGTGAAACCTATGGCTTAAAGAAATGGAGAATGCTACAATATTAAGTTCAGACTTCATGCTATAAACTTAAAGTAAGAACACAGGGCAGGACTACAAAGTTTCATTCTGATCTAGGTTTGAGCCTGAAGATTTAAACTTTGATGATAATCATTTTTTTTCACCCATCTTTGCTATAAACTATATAATTTTGATATTCACTAAAGTAAATGACTTATGTAATTCAACGTTTGGTTACTTACGAATTCCTATTGGCACTGTTTGCAAGTTTAAGCAGGCTTTGTTGATCAAGAAGGGGTTTGGGTTGTTCTACATGACATTCCATTTATTTTTTTCTTTCCCATTTTATTAATCACCCCCAATTCCAGGACATTTCTAATCATCCTCCCCCACAAAACCATACCCAGTAGCAATCACTCCTTAGTCATCCCTCTCCTCAGTCCCTGGCAACCAGCAATCTACTTCCTGTCTCTAGGGGTTTACCTATTCTGGACATTTCATGTAAATGGTATCATATAATATGTGGCTTTTTGTAACTGGCTTCTTTCTTCTGTTTAATGTTTTCAAGGCTCACCTATGTTGTAGCAGATATTGGTACTTCCAGGTTTATTTATTTATTTATTTATGGTACTGGGGATTGAACCCAGGGGTGCTCAATGACTAAGCCACATCCCCAGCCTTTTTTTTTTCTTTTTTAATATTTTATTTAGAGACAGGGTCTTGCTGAGTTGCTTAGGGCCTCACTAAGCTGTTGAGGCTGGCTTTTAACTTGTGACCCTCCTGCCTCAGCCTCCTGAGCCACTAGGATTACAGGCATGCATCCCTGCACCCAGCCATATATCAGTATTTCATTCTTTCATGGCTAAATAAGTTAAATAATATTCTATTTTACTGACGTAGCACACTGTTTATTTATTAGAATACCTGATGGACTCCAATTGAATTTTAATATAATATACTCTATGTACATAAATAAAACAATCTTTAGTCATTTTTAATATCTGTTGGTGAAAAGCACTCAATGCTTGTCTGTCACCCACAACAAACCTTGCAAAAACAGACAAAATATGTATACTTGCTCATCTTGTATACCAGCGTATATGGTACAGTTCTACCAAGTACTGCACAGTAAAATCCAAACTTCCAAAGCAGAAGCTTAAAGCTTGGTGTGGAGGTCCTCCAACTTCCACTTCAAGATTTCACTAGACATTGTGAAACTATGACCTCTGTAAAATCAAAGTTCACTTACGGAAAAGGGTCAGTCCTTGCAGGGAGGATCCTGTTAGACTCGCCTGGAGGGAGGTTGAACAGGGGTCCCTTTTCATCAATGCAGTTTGCAGAATTACTGTCGGGACTGCAGCGTACCCACTGGTACCTGGCTCTCCGCATAGGATAACCTGCCCGAACAAGGAACCCGTGAGAAATAAGTATCTCTTCCACAGCTTTGAACTGCTCTGTTGTTAATTAAATGGATTGAAACCAGAAGTTTTTAAATTAAATGGATTCTAAATTTGGTAGAAGGTGCAGCACAGACAGGTTTAATGTCCATTAACAAAATAGCAGCTCCCACTCTGCACTAGCCTTTTGTAAATGTTTTTTGTCCCCACAGCATTCCCATAAAGTAGCAGAGAGTTTAATATTGATGTCAGCTGCCTGCAAGCAAATCCTGACTCTGCTACTGGCTAGTTATGAAACCTAAACTTCCTGGAACCCCTGCTGTAAAATGCAGGTCTTAATAGTATCATAAGCTTGTCACAAAATTAAATTGAAGCCGGGTGCAGTGGTGCACGCCTGTAATCCCAGCAGCTCAGGAAACTGAGGCAGGAGAATCACGAGTTCAAAGCCAACTACAGCAAAAGCAAGGCACTAAGCAACTCAGTGAGACCCTGTCTCTAAATAAAATATAAAATAGGGCTAGGGATGTGGCTCAGTGGTTGAGTACCCCTGGGTTCAATCCCTGGTATACCCCAAAATAAAAATTAAATCAAAAAAATCATGAGAAAACTTTAACATAGTGCCAGGTACATAGTAAACAATGGATAACATTAATTATTATTATTATTTATGTGTAGGGTTTACTGGAGATTGAATCCAGAGGTGCTCAACCACTGAGCCACATCCCCATCCTTTTAATTTTTTATTTTGAGACAGGGTCTCACTAAGTTGCTTAGGGCCTCACCAAGTACCCCAGGCTGGCCTTGATCTTGGTGATCCTCCTGCCTTAGCCTCCCAAGTTGCTAGGAATCCAGGTGTGTGCTATCATGCCTGGGACTATTATTATTTTTGTGCTATTATCTCCGCTTTTCACATTGGAAAATTGAGGCCACCAAGGAGCTTAGTAGAAGATCCAGGATTCCAACCTATACCTGATCCCAAAGTCAGCCTCTTTAGAGAGATGAGACAAATCTGGTTCAGAAAGGTTAAGAAGTGCACTGAGAAGTATCTAAGCCATTAGAGAGTGCTGGGGCTTATGTTTTAGGACCATACAGGATTCTTGGGAATGAAAAGTAAATCAAAACTCTTTCTCTTCAGAGATTTCACAAGAAGACTAGCCTATTCACAGAGGAACAGAGAGGTTGCAATAGTCAAGTATCTCACTGCTTCTTTGAATTTAAATTCTATAGAAAAGTCTCCAAATCTGGTATTCTAAGGTGATATGATATATAGGACCCTTTATTAATTCATGAAACACCTTCTTCATGACTCAGTTTAGCAAGGACAGAAGCTTGATGGTGAGAAATACCACGCCATCCTGCAAACAGTTCATCTCCTCCCCGCCCCAGCGCACATTTTATTCAAACAAGTGCTTCGAGCACTAGTAATCACCTAGCAAGAAGAAGCATGGCTGCAATTCTTGCAAAGCAGAAAAGCCCAGCACAAAACAATATAAATGCTTGGAAAAATGACAAGGTGCTCACTAACCAAACAGCTAAACAGTAGTTGTTGCCAGGAGCTGAGGTGCCTATAATCCCGGAGGCTGAGGCAGGAGGATTGCAAGTTCAAAGCCAGGAACTTAGCAAGATCCTCAGCACCTTAGGAAGACATTGTCTCAAAATAAAAATAAAAAGGGACTGTGGATGTGGCTCGGTGGTTGAGCACCCCTGGGTTCAATTCGCAGTACCAAAATAATTAAATAAGTAAGCAAATAAATAAAAAAAAATGAGTGAAAAGATAATGTGGAAAGGGGCTGGGGATATGGCTCAAGCGGTAGCGCGCTCGCCTGGCATGCGTGCAGCCCGGGTTCGATCCTCAGCACCACATACAAACAAAGATGTTGTGTCCGCCGAAAACTAAAAAATAAATATTAAAAATTCTCTCTCTCCCTCTCACTCTCCCTTAAAAAAAAAAAAGAGAGAGAACTTGTTAAAAAAAAAAAAAGATACTGTGGAAAATGGAAGAAATTACACAAAAATAACTGGTGGTAGACTCTTTGATGATTTTTTTTCTTTTCTAACTTGCTATAATAGATAACATTCCTCTAAAACATAAACATTTAAAAGACTGACTTGGAAAGAGAGTAAATATTCCACATTTAGTTAGCCAGTTTGCTTCCTTTCTCTTCTCTGTTCGATCACAATCTTCCCCATGGTTCCTGAGTAGAGCTTACAGAGTCTGGTGTGGGAACTAATTGTCCAAAACGCTCTGGGGATAAGGCAGGCAAGATGACATCACGAGGTCTGCCCATTACTGGCCATATGACCGTGGCCAACTTAACCTCTCCACACCTCAACTTCCTCATCTGTAAAATGGGAACCATCATGGATGTAACAGTGAGATGTGAATGTTAGGTTCTTAGAATGGCAACTAGCACCATGGCAGAGCTTTTCAAATGCTAGTTTCTATGATGAAAATTACAACAACCTACAACTTGAGGATTGTAGAGAGTCCAGAATTTAAATCTGAGTTACCATTCGACAACTTAGTACCTTTCAAATTCTCAAATTATCATCTTTCAAACAGATATTGGGGAAAATTACACAAAAATATGAGAAATACCACAGCAAAGAGTTCCCAGTTAGCTGAGCATGGCGGTGCACACCTGTAATCCCAGCAACTTGGGAGGCTGAGGCAGAGGATCTCTGGTTCAAGGCCAGCCTCAGCAATTTAGCAAGATCATGTCTCAAAAAGGACTGCAGATATCGCTCCCATGGTAAAGAGTCCCTGAGTTCAATCCTCAACACCAAAAATAAAAATAAATAAATAAATAAAAATACGAGTTTCTGTTTAGGTGAAATAAAATTATGTGAAGCATCTAACACAAGCTTTTGCACATAATAGATATTGAATATATTTTATCTCCTTTTCTGATTCTTTCCTGAGGCAGTAATAATGTGGCATCTAATTAGGGCTTAGGAAACTCCTAGTTGGTGAGACAAAAATCAAACATCTCCCCCAGCAGAGGGCGATGTCTTCACACCTATGGGGTCCAGACCTCACTATCCAATTGAAACATGAAGCCAGCTAATGCAATCAGAGATGTTTCAAAAACAGGTAAAATTAATTTTAATATAGTCTATTTAACTCATGTTTTAGGATATTATCACTTAACACATAATCAATATAAAAGTTGTTTTTTTGTTTTGTTTTGTTTTTTCAATACTGGGGGCGAATCCAAGGACTTGAATATGCTAGGCAAGTGCTCGGTCACTAAGCTCCACCCCAGCCCCAGGATAACAGTTATTACCAGGGAATTTTACATTCTTATTTTTCAAACTAAGTCTTCAAAATAAAATATACTTCATATTCACAGCATGTGTCAATTTGGACTTGTCATATTTCAAGAGTTTGAAATACATTGAATAGCAAGGTGAGAAAATATTTTCTTGGATAGGAAGTTAAACAGAAAAATTAAATTTATTTAGTTTATTTTTTTGGTGCTGGGGATCAGACTCCAGGCCTTATGCATGCTAGGCAAGCACTCCCCCCGTACCCCTAAATGAATGCTTTGAGGGGGTACCCCCGTGAAAGACTGCATCTTTTCACTAGTAGAGCAGCTCTAACTTTGACAAATTTATTTTTTAGTTGTAGTTGGAAACAATACCTTTATTTCACTTATTTATTTTTATGTGGTGCTGAATATCGAACCCAGGGTCTTGCACGTTCGAGTCAGCGCTCTACTGCTGAGCCACAACCCCAACCCCCCCCCAACATTTATTTCTAAAATACAAAATTAGCCCCCAAGTTCAGAACTTTGAGTTGCTTAACTCTTCCTCCCTGTTGCTGAGGATGGCTTTGAACTCTGGATCCTCCTGCCTCAGCCTCCAGAGCCGCTGGGATTACAGGCATGCATGACTGTGCCCAGATTAGAAGATGTTCTAAAAATCAACTATGGGGATGGTTGCACAGTTCTGTGAATACACTAAAAATAACTGAATTATAGACCTTACTTTTTTTTTTTTTTTTGCAGTGCTGGGGATTGAACGTAGGGCTTCTACATGCTAGGCAAGTGCTCTGCTGCTAAGACACACCCCTGGCTCAAACTATATACCCTAAAATGTGAATTGTATGGTATATGAACTCCTTCTTAGTAAAGCTGTTAAAAATCAGAGATAGGACTGGGGATGTTGCTCACTGGTAGCACGCTTGCCTAGCAAGCATGAGGCACTGGGTTCGATTCTCAGCACCACATAAAAAATTAATAAATAAATAAAGATATTGTGCCCACCTAAAACTAAAAAATAAACATTAAAAAAAATCAGAGATAGAAGTCTCCCACTCCAAAAGTCTATTGAATTTGTTGAAGATATTTTAAAATAAAGAACAAGGGCTGGGGTTGTGGCTCAGCAGTAGAGTGCTCACTTAGCACGTGCAAGGCCCTGGGTTCGATCCTCAGCACCACATAAAAGTAAATAAATAAAACAAAGGCATTGTGTCCGACTACAATTAAAAAAATAAAGAAAGAGCAGTTATAGACACAAAATTCCTGACATAGTTATCCACAGGTGCTGGCAGGATGTAAAAAGTCAAGGTTCTAACTCCTGAAGTTGTGAGAGTACCTTGACTTTCTTTTACTTGAGATAAATTTCTCACAATTATCATAATCTTAAAAATAAAAGAAAATGCTCTTCTAGTCAGAAACATCTTCATAGAAGGATCTGCTTCACAGAGGATCTGCTGGTTCATTGTGTATGGATTCCAGGGAAAAGTATGATTTTTATTAAGAATTCCTTCCAGCTGGACAAGGTGATGCACACCTATAGTCCTAGCAACTCAGGAGGCTGAGGGAGGAGGATTACAAGTTTAAGGCCAGCCTCAGCAACTTAGTGAGACCTGTCTCAAAAAATAAAAAGGGTTCAATCCCCTGTACCCCCGGCAAAAAAAAAGAAAAAATCCCTTCCCTCACTGTCCTCCACTTCCCCCACACCCACACACATACCCTCACTAGCTCTGCTTGATCAACATACACTCCATGAGTAAATGTTATCAAGCAACTTTCTCCAGTAGTGCCTCTGTATTTTTTTATATGATAGTAACACTTTTTCCCCTAACATAATCACTATTTACTAACTTCCTATTCTTAATGGAAACGTATTGCAAGTGTGTTACAGAAGCTTAAGCAGAAACTGTCATAAAGGGGGAGGGGATATTTGCTTCACTCAAAATGGGTGCATTTAAGCAACTGTCATTATCTAAGTTGACGTTACTTCCTACTGGTCTACAATTCCACAAGATGGATAAACTTCCGACTCTTGCATGGTTTGACAAGTTATAAAAAACTCCAAGTTTAGTTTCAATTTCTCCCTCAAGTCAGTAGTAAACATAGCAAGGGCGATAGTCAAAGAAAGGGTTTTGGTGTTTTCGATTGTTTTTTGTTTTTGTTTTAATACTAGGGATTGAACCCAGGGGCACTCAGCCACTGAGCCACATCCCCAGCACCCCCCCCCCTTTATAAATACACACACACACACACACACACGTATATAGATTAGTTGTAGTTGGATACAATACCTTTATTTTATTTATTTATTTTTATGTGGTGCTGAGGATCGAACCCAGCGCATTGCATGTGCTAGGTGAGCGCTCTACCGCTGAGCCACGACCCCAGCCCCTCCCCCCAGCCCCTTTTTATTTAGAGACAGGGTCTCCCTAAGTTGCTTAAGACCTCACTAAATTGCTGAGGCTGGCTTTGAACTTTCAATTCTCCTGTCTCAGCCTCCCAACCTACCAGGATGACAGGCAGGCACCATGATGCCCAGTGATATTTTTTTGTTGTTGTTTTAAATTTAAAAAACTTCTAATCAACAACAAGTTAATGCTAGACTTGACGTTGGAATGACTACTTCTGCCATTAGTCAGTTGCAATGGGCCTTGGGCAAAACCCACACATATTTTGCAAGAGGCTGATGTAAAGAGCAAATGAGATGATGAATTTCAGGTCCAGTTTTTTTTTCTCTACCAATTGGTGCTAATTCCTCCTCCCAAGGAATGTGATGATCCTTACCAGAGAATGGGTGTGAATGCCCTTTACAAACAGCTGCACATGTGGGTGGGATCAGTACTGTGCTCTAGGAGACAGTGTGGTGGGAACACACGGGCTAGCCCTGGTCCCTTGGTCACACCTGCTCATGAATGTTCCATTTTCTTTATTTACGGGCATCTTTGAAAAGAAAGGCTGTAACACAGCGCTAGGATTCAGACCTCATTAATAACCCCGTGGAGCCTACATGAACTAGATTAGCCATCTGTGCTCTCCATCCTCTGCACACGTCACGGCACTTCCATTTCTTTCCACTCAGTGGACAGTTTTACATTCGTGTGTGTATTGGGTTTTTAAAAACAATTATGTGATAGCTGAAGTATATCCCTTGCAGAATTCATATGTTCAAGTCCTAACCTCATAATGTGACATAATTTGGAAAGAGGATCATTGCAGATGTGGTTCAGATGAAATCATTAGGGTAGCCCCAATCCAATATGACTGGTGTCCTTATCAGAATAGACAGTTAGAACACAGATGTGTGCAAGAGAGGCCACGTGAAGACCAAAGGGGAAGGCAGCATCTATAAGCCAAAGAGAAAGGCGTCAGAAGGAAACCAACCTAGCAAAACCTTGATCTTGGATGCTAGACTCCAGAACTGTGAGGAAATGAATTTCTGTTGTGTAAGTCATGTGGTCTGTGTTACTTTGTTATGGCGGGCCAAGCAGATGAATGCAGGAACCTAAGAGGGGTTGAAGGTGCTCAGCAAAAGCACACCAAAAGCCTTGCTAATCTAAAACCAGTAAATTCAGTAAACTTTTTTTTTCTTTTCTTTTTTTTTGTACCAGGGATTAAACCCTGGGACACTTAACCACTGAACCACATCCCCAGCCCTTTTTATATTTTTAAATTTTGAGACAGGCTCTCACTAAATTGCTTAGGGCCTCACTAAATTGCTGAGACAGGCCTTGAACTTGTGATCCTCCTGCCTCAGCTTCCCAAGCCGCTGGGATTACAGGCATGCGCAGGGCATGGTAAGTTTTGTTTGTTTGTTTTTTTAAGCTGGGGGAGGATGTTATCCCCTCTCTCTGGCATCAGGTGGGGTGTGGTGAAATGGAGTCCTGGCTCTGCCCTTGGCCTCTTATTGCATCACTAACACACACAAGGCATCTCTTTTCCCCTCAAGTTCAATGTGAGCACGTGTCCTTGAGCCGAAGCCCAAGTTCCCCTCAGAAATACCCTCATTTTTCAGTTCATTCATTGTCTTCTTTTTGGTTTCCTTTTCTAACGAAGATCGAAATCTACATAAATGTTAGTATTTTCAACAATTTCAAGATGGTTTCTTTCTTCTGCATACACATAAAAGGAAAGTTTTCGTTTTTGTTCTGGTCTTACCCATTGAGTCAGTGAAAAATGTGACACTTTGGGGAAATTTTGAAGATAGAAAAACTTAGGTAGGGATCTACTCAGCACCAATGCATCACTCAAGTCTGTGCCACAAATATGAACCTCACTTAATCTTGTCAAAGCACACGGGTGTTAGGGAATCATTACATCAGGCTGTAGCTTTTCCCAAAAGGATCCAAGAAAAGCTCGTTCTCTACTTTTACACTTTAAAACTAAGAAGATGAAGGGAACTGTTGCAGTAGTATTACTTGCTGTTTTTCCTCTAATGCAATAACTAGAAGATGATGACTTTATGAATTTCCAATATCTGAGGAATTTCTTTGAGATCATTTGTAAGATTTCATTTCCACAGGAAGTAAGAACATGACAGTTAGAAGTCACTTCGAAGAAACAAATCCAGGACAAGCGTGTCACTGTGACTCAACATTTCCTTTACCATTTGGGGGAACTTAATGTTTTCCTACTATAAATTCTGTCATCTACTTGTTAGGCTGGGACCTTCTGCCTTATTATGATTTTTTTTTATTTACCAAAAGCAAAAGAAATTGCCTTTTTCTTATAAACTGAGCATTTTCGTTTTCTTAGTCATTAAAAGATTTAAATTGTTTCAGTCCAACTAAAGAGCCCTAAATGATAGATCAAACTAAGAAGATATTTCCAAATGTGATGTTTCTCTGAGCAATAGCTCAAATCCTAATATTCTTTGGGCTTTCTTTAAAACCTAAGGTTTACATTAACTATGTCTACCTATAATCAAATTTACAGTGACAAATTAGAAAAAGAAAAAAAATACACACTGTCAAATTTACCCTAATTAAAAAATAGTATTTCCCAATGTTAAAATGATGACACCACCACAATGCATTCCAACTTGGGGTTTGTGTAGACATCCAGGAATAGGTAGAAATTCCAGAACATTCCAAGGTGCCATCTCCATGGATCAGGCATGTGAGTCCTTTTCCTTATTCCTTTCCTGACCTTTAAAAATTAATAAACCACACATTTTCATCCAAAAACAAACAGCACATTTCAATCATTGTAAGAGTTTATATGGCTGCACCTGCCTCAGAGTTTAATTTTTCTTGGTACCAGACTCAACTGAACTCACACAAAGGAGTTTGGTCATGTTTAATCTTTCGTCTTTGCCTCCTTTCCCACAATATAATACCGTCAGTACCTTGTATTAAAATAGTCATTATCATTTGCATGGTCCCTGGGGCTTATGGAAAAGGTTACAGGGGAACAAGTTTCCTGGGTCTTACCTTGGACTGGAGATTCCAAAACCAGGATGAGGGCGAGAGCCAGGGCCAGGCTACTGCACTTGAGGACCTTCTGCATCATGACCAGCTCACTCCAACACGCCAGCCCACGATTAGGAAATGCAGCAGGGTGCTCTCTGTCCCTTTTAGAAAAGGTTCCAAAACCTCAAACCCTGCCCAGAACACACGTCACAGTTTCCTGAACAAATAGAAAGAGATCCACATCAAAACCCAGAAAGAAAGAAAAGGAAAGCAGCAAAAATAACTATTCATACCCATTATGAAACTGCACTGGGCTCTCCCCACGCCTGCTTTCTCTAAAGTTTTGTTGTTTGCCATTTGCCTTAAAAAAAAAAAAAAAATTTTTTTTTCTTTTTCCATCAAAACAGCAGAATCAACATCCAGGACGGTTTGTTTTTCCTTTCTTCAGGTGACAATCTAAACACAGGTTGATGACTGTAGGAGTGAGCCACCAATGATGAGAGGAGAGAGCCAGGTGTCGCCTTCTCATCACTAAGTGCCTTCCACACAAAATGTTCTCGATTTTCTGTTTCATCAAGGAGCAGCCTAACTCGTGAGCCAAGCTCGAGAAGTGTAACTTCCACGTTGGGTCCTCATCCACCACAATGAGTTGTTCCTCATTCAGATAAAGTCTGTTCTTCACTCAGTTTTTGCATTGGCTTCCCTCTGCCCCAAAAGTATGGTGAGGATTTTTTATTACACACACACACACCAAAAAAAAAAAAACTTGGCTAAATAAACAACAAAAAAAATTATCTTGCATTCCTCGGCTCCTTTATACCAACAATTATGATTTGGTTCCATGCATACCCTTATCTTTTCTCCAAGTAAAAAATGTTCAACTTGCTTTTGGGTCTCCTGGCCTTGAATAAGCCAGAAATCAGGAACAAGGGGTGGTTGTCCCCCCCTTGGGTATTGCCTGAAAAACATGTAAGCCACTTTCCCCACCTCTGCCCTGGGCATATAGGGGTAGAATTTTTCCCTGGTCCTGGGGATGCTGTGCAGATTTCTGGAGGACTGAGACTCCTTATTACAGCCACAGTGTTTTCTGACATATTGTCACCCTGGGAACATGTGTCCTGTCCCTAACATTCCTAAAGCACGGGTCCCACTTTCCATTCCCTGCCTGTCCTTTGACAGAGGGAGGAGTTTCCCTTCCCTTGTTTTGAGTTTCCTGCTGATTCCTTACCATTTCCTGCTAAGGACTGGGCCTTGAATCTAACCGATGCGTAGCTGGGGTTCAAGAACAAAAGCCTGCACATCTGACTTTCGTCAGAATCAGCCAGAAGTGGGTCCTTCAGCCCAGGGTTCCTCAGAATGTAGTCATCAGCCCTCAAACTCACACACCAGCAAGTTCTTCACCAGGGAATTCTGGCTTCAGCTTAAAGTTTTAGTCATCCTCTCTAGTTCCTTTTCATTGTAATTCCCAATTTAAAACCTTGGCACCAAAACAATAGTTCTGTCAATAGCTTCAACAAGTTTTCTGCAGAGCCTCTGAGCAACATTAGAATTTGTGCCTGAAAATGGTAATTTGGGGGGCTTTTCTCTTTGGATATTCATTTTTTTTCCCTTTGGGGGCCATGGTGATTTTAAAAAAGACACCTGCAGTGTTCATAAGCAGTTTCTCCTCTTGGTTCATGACAGCCCACGGTTCCTTGTTCCAAAGAGCCTTCCTCCAGTTCATTTCCCTAGTCATTTTCTTTTCAGGCGATAGACAGGACCAGGACAAATGCTCATGACCCTACCTACCAGCTGAGTGATGCTGGTCACTTACTCTTTCTTTTTGCATCTCTATCATTTGAGTTCTTCCCCTCCCCCAGCTCCCAGTACTGGAGATTGAGATAAATACCCAGCCCCTTTTTGGGGCTGGGGGTACAGGGATTGAACTCAGGGGCACTCAACCCCTGAACCACATCCCCAGCCCTATTTTGTATTTTATTTAGAGACAGGGTCTTACTGAGTTGCTTAGCACCTCACTTTTTGCTGAGGCTGGCTTTGAACTAACAACCCTCCTGCCTCTGCCTCCTAAACTGCTGGGATTACAGGTGTGAGCCACCATGCCCAGCTAACCCTTTTTTTTCCTTTCCTTTTCTTTTTTTTTTTTTTGGTTCTAGGGATTGAACCAGGGTTTTGTGCAGGGTAGGCATGCACTCTACCAACTGAGCTACATCCCTAGCCCAGCTAATCCTTTCAAAAAAAAAAAAAAGTTTGAGACAAGGTCTGGCTAAGTTGGCCAGGTTGGCCTTGAACTTGCTGTCTTCCTGCCTCAGCCTGGTCTGACAACAGTGTGGGCAGCCAATCAGAGGGCGTCCATGAGAGCGTGTGGGGGTCCATACTGACACTGCTTCTCTGGGCCCTGGACATCTTCTTGCCTGAAGCTTCCTCCATTAACTAAAGAGAACCTGTGTCTTTTCCTAAACCTCAACTTCTGCAGTAAACATGTTTTTCACAATTTTAAAAGACAAAAGGTACTCCAAACTTAATCCTTTATTTACCAGGCAACTGTTTTTGGTTTTTTGGGGGTTTTTTTGGTGCTAGGTATTTAACCCAAGGGCATTCTACCACTGAGCAATATCGTCAGCCCTTTTTTTTTTTTAGTTGTAGTTGGACACAATACCTTTATTTTTATTTATTTGTATTTATGTAGTGCTAAGGATGGAACCCAGGGTTTCACATGTGCTAGGCAAGCTCTCCACCACTGAGCCATAACCCTAGCCCATCCTCAGCCCCTTTTTATTTTTATTTTGAGGCAGGGTTTCACACAGTTGCTGAGACTGGCCTCAAACTTGTGATCTTCCTGTTTCAGCCTCCTGAATTATACACATGCATCCCTGAGCCTGGCTCAGGCAATATTTTTTTTTCTTTTTGCTGGGGCTGAGGGCTTCTGGGCATTGAACCCAGGGCATCTGACCTGCTAGGCAATTGCTCTGCCACTGAGCTACATCTCCAGTCCTTGTTTTTGTTATCATTTTATTTTGAGACATACCCTCTCTGAGTTGCCTACATTGGCCTCAAACTTGAGATCCTCCTGCCTCAGCATCCTAAGTAGCTGGTATTACAGGTGTGCACCACTACACCCAGCATTTACCAGGCAATCTTAAAGGAACCTACTTTATTTCACAGGTAGTTAAGTTCCATATAAAGTGAGTAGCCTTATTCCTTAACAAGCACCCTGAGCTGTGGTTTGAATATGTCTCCCAAAAGTCATGTATTGGAAATTTCAATCTCTGAAGTCATGGTATTTACAGATGGGCCCTTTGGGATTAATTAGGATTAAATAACATGAGTGTGAGGCACCCATGATGGCATGGGTGGTTTTATAAGAAGAGGAAGAGACCCAAGCCAGCATGCTTGCCCTGTCTCACCATGTGCTGCCCTCCGCCATGTTATGATGCAGCACAAGGCCCTCACCAGATGCCAAGCAGATGCCAGTTCCATTTCTCAATTTTCCAGCCTCCAGAACTATAAGAAATAAATTTATTTTCCTATACCCAATCTTAGGAATTCAATGACAACATCAGAATACAAACTAAGACATCTTGAACATGACAATTTAATTCCTTGTTATCTAAGAAAGTAACTCCTAAAAGCAATACAAACATTAATTTTTACTCCCTGTTCATTTCAGGGTGGTCTTACAAGGGAAATGTAGCCAGGCATGGTGGCTTACACCTGCAACCCCAGTGACTTAAGAGGCTGAAACAAGAGGATCACAAGTTCGAGCCCAGTCTTAGCAATTCAGTAAGATCCTGTATCAAAATAAAAGAGAAAAAGAACTGGGGATATAGCTCAGTGGTAGATCCCTGCTGGGTTCAATCCCCAGTATCATAAAGAAGATAGATAGATAGATAGATAGATAGATAGATAGATAGATAGATAGATAGATAGATAATCATATTATGAAAGGGTGTTCTTGAAAACATCTCCTGATTAGCAGGGCAGTAGAGAAAATAAAGAAGATGACTCATCTATTAAAGGATCTCAGGCACCTTGAAGTTTCCCATTCTTTCTGTTCTCTCCTCTTTCCCATCCGCTCTCCCCTAGTGTATGGGGAGACCATAGTCAAGATAGAAAAGTATCCTGATGCCTTGGCCCAGTGGGACAGCTCCCATTTTGTCCATGGCCTCCTTACCAAGAAACAATGAATAGGCACCATAGAGGGGTACCCTGGGAGTGGACACATTTTCAAGGGCATCCCCTGCTGGGCCATGTGGCTCCTCGAAAACTGCTGTTTAAAATAATTTAAAATAAAATAATTTTTTTTTTAAAAAAAGGGTAGGGGGCATAGCTGGATGCAGTGGCACAAGCCTATAATACCAGTGGTTTGGGAGGTTGAGGAAGGAGGATCACAAGTTCAGAGCCAGCCTCAGCAACTTAGCAAAGACTCTCAGCAACTTATCAAGACCCTGTCTCTAAATAAAAAATGAAAAAATAACTGGCTGGGCATGTGGCTCAATGTTTAAGCACTCCTGGGTTCAAACTCTGATAACAAAAAAAAAAGGGATCAAAGCATAAAAAAACTTGGGTCTAGTAAAATATGAAATCACAATTCCAAAATCATAGGGATTCGAAGAGCTAAACGTTACAATGGAAGAGTCACTTGCTGAATATTATTGACATAAATAACTGGAAACAGGGGAATATGCAACTTCTCTTGGGAATACTTTCACAAGTCAAATATATTAGAAACCAATCTCTAAGGGGAAATTTCACACATAAGGGATCCGGAGTGAAGGTGGGGGGAGGGGAAACTAGGCCCTTAGAAAAGAAAAGTGATCTTTATTTGGCTTCTGAAATCTTACCTTCTTCCTGGGCTACATCATCAATGCTATTCTGCAATTATTTTAATATATCTCTAGTTGATTATCTTTTTGAAATAAAAAAAAATTAGTAAGGACAGCTGAGGAATTACAAGAAGAAATGTAAAGAAAGGATCAATCCCTTGTCACCTTGTCATGGCTGTCGTGCAGCCATGTCCTGCTTTGGCAATTCAAAGTGGCACACTCTACTCCCTTTATCTCCCTTTGTGGCTTTCGTTTTATACTCTGCCTGTGGTACTCTGTGGCCCCATCGATGCCCCCAGAATTAACTTGGTTGTTTGAGTCCAGCAAATCCTATAACTCATCCATCAATTCTA